TTCCTGGGTTTGACTTCTCTGGATAAACGCAGTATCCACGAAACTTGAGGATTTTTGGTTGTAGATGCCAAACTTCAGCCTCTCCACTTTTCACTGATGAAAAAGGTGGTGAGGAGATGGTGCCATGTGGGGGCCCATTCAGGAGTGGGCAAATCCCACACTCAAGACTTGCTTCTGTGTTTCTTTAAGCTCTGGTGTTCCTGCAGGATCCTCGTAGCCCCTCAGTTCTCCTGGTGCTACCCACACCTCACAGCACTCATGTCCACGTGGAAAATCAATTTATTCATGAATATATTTTATAGGTCACTTGGCTCAGGTTCTCTTGAGCATAAAGTGTACTCCTAAAAATCCTTTGGGAAAGACCAGACCCTTCCTAAAGCTGAAAAGGGCAGGTTTGCTCTTTGGATGCCATCTGGGAGTTGTGCTTGGAAGTTTCTCCCCAGAGCAGCGGTGGGGCTGGCAGGTGACCCCAGGACTGACTTTTGTCGTTGGAGAAGCCAGATTTTCTGTAGCAAAATAGGGACGAACAAGGAAACTGGTGGAGGAGATCCCAATTTTTTTTCTGTAGCAAACCAAGAATGAACAGAGATTGAGGAAATCCCAACTTTCTTTTAGCAAAACAGGGATGTGCAGAAAAATGGACAAATTTCTCTTCACGAAGAGAGGTGGGGCTGGTCCCCAGTGCCTTTTCCCCCTTGGAGGGGAATCCCAAATTTCCTCCATCAAAACAGGAATAAACAGGGAAATTGGTGGAGGAGATCCCAAATTTCCTGTAGTAAAACAAGGATTAGTTTCTCCTCAGAGCAGAGGCTGCTGGGTGACCTCAGCACTGATTTTTTTTCCTTTGGAGGAGATCCCAAATTTTCTGTAGCAAAACAAGGATGAGTTTCTCTGCAGAGCACAGGTGGGCCTGGCAGGTCCCCAGTGGCTTTCCCTCTCAGAGAAGCTCCCAAATTACCTTTGTAAAAACCATAAACAAAAACTGGTGGAGGAGGAGAACCCAAACTCCCTGTAGCAAAGCAGGCCTGAACGAGCGAAGCGGTCGCGGAGCCCCGCTGGGCTGGAGCAGGATGGAGCTGGCTGTGCCCGAGGGTCGTTCTGGGGAGGTCCAGAGGGCCACATTCCCCCCATGTCCCGCGTGGATCTGCAGCTCAGGCGTGGGAGTTGATGGCTTTTTGTTTTCTCTCCCGGTGACGTCAGCCTGCACCTGACCACCTTCAGCCTGCAGTACACCCCGCCCGTTGTGGCCTGCGTCTGTATCCACCTGGCCTGTAAGTGGTCCAACTGGGAGATCCCAGTCTCCACGGACGGCAAGCACTGGTGGGAATACGTTGATGGCACTGTAACTCTGGAGCTCTTAGATGGTAAGTTTGGGAGCGAGGTTTTTTTTTATCCTGCAAAAGGCTCTTAAATGATTTTGGCATCGCTGGTCCTGGGTCTCTGATGTTTCGACGCCACCTCACGGGCTCCAGGAGTTCAGGGCTTGCTGAGCATTTCCAGGGCAGCAGCAGCTTCTGTAGCACCACAGAGAAATGAGTTTGAATGGGTCAGTGATTCCAGTTGTCAGAATTCCCCTCCTGGCACAGCTCCATCCCACCAGTAGCTCCATCTGTCAGATGAGGGGGTTGTCCTGATGGACCGGGGCTGCTCTGACCCTCCCGCTTGGGTTTGTGTCTCCTCTGCAGAACTGACTCATGAATTCTTGCAAATCCTTGAGAAAACTCCCAGCCGACTGAAACGGATCCGGAACTGGCGGGTAAGAACCTTGGACACAGGCTGTGATTCCTTTGGGAATTGCAATGCAGGACAGCAATGGAGGGAGTTGTGTGTGGAATTGAGATACACTGTGTGTGGTGCTTGAGTTCATCTGTTGTGAATTAACTTGTGCAGAGCTTTGGTTTTCCAGCTGCATTAGCAGCCCTGCTTCCAGGGGTTGGGAATTTTCCCACAAAGAGGGATGGGAGCAACGTGGATCTGTCTGTATAAAAGACCTTGCAGTGTCCTGGTGAGCTGCTTGGATTACACCAGCGACACCCCAAGTAAACACTCGCTGATTTGTTTAAATTCCAGGCCTCTCAAGCAGCCAGGAAGTCCAAAACCGACGACCATGGCGATGACGAGAGCCTGTCAGAGCAGACAATCCTCAACATGATCTCCAGGAACAACAGCTCGGACATGAACATCGCTGGGCTCATGAGCATGTCTACATCCTCCACCGCCGGAGCTGGGCCGGCGCTCCCGGCTGCGGCCGATTCCCCCGGGGAGCCGAGCGCTGCGGATCCGTCGCAGGCAGATCACTGGCACCCCCCGGCCAAGCTGGACATCCACAGGACTAGCGAGAGCACGTCGGCCGCTGAGCACCTGCAGCCGGACGGTGCTGCCTACCCCAAGCAGAGCACCAAGAACGCACCCTCAGCCAAGGTGTCCCTCAAGGAATACCGGGCCAAGCACGCTGAGGAGCTGGCAGCACAGAAGCGGCAGCTGGAAAACATGGAAGCAAACGTGCGCTCCCAGTACGCCTACGCTGCGCAGAACCTCCTGGTGCAGCAGCAGCGGGAGAGGGAAGGGCAGCAGGACAGCAACCCCTCCCCGATCGTCCTGAAAATCCCCATCGCGGGGCCGGAGAACCCCGAGCGCCCGCCTGGCGCCGACAAGGGTGACAAAGCTCTCAAGATGAGGATCCCGGCGGTGGGGGGAGGCGGGGAGAGGCCGATCCCCTCCAAGCAGGAGGAGATCAAGATGCGGATTAAGGTGCCAGGTCCCGGAGACAGACACGGCTCTGCGGATGAGAGCGGCGGGAAGAGCCGGGAGTACAAAGAGAAGCACAAGGGCCACTCATCCAACCACCACCACCACCACCACAACCACCACTCGCACAAACACTTGCACGCCCAGCTCGGCGCCGGCCCCAGCACCGCGGCCAAGCGCCCGGGGGACTCCAAACACAGCGCCCAACCCAGTGCCACCGCCACCCCCCACAAGGGCTACGGGCCTCTCGTCCCCACCCGCAAAAGACCCCTGCCCGAGGAGCCCCCGGCCATGCCCCACGAGCACCAGCCCAAGGTGGGCAAAGTCTCCAAAGGTCCCGGAGTGCCGTTCCCATACGCCCACCTTCCCGGGGCTGCCCATCTCCCTGGGCACAGCTCGGATTTATCCCAGCCCAGCAAAGCCCGGGGCGCCCACAAATCGGACAAGGGGCCTTCGGGGGCCAACGGGCACAACGTCAGCCAGGCCAGTGACTATCAGGACACGGTGAACATGCTGCACTCGCTGCTGAGCGCGCAGGGCATGCAGCCCACCCAGGCCCCCGCCTTCGAATTCCACTCGTACGAGCTCCTGAACCCCCGGGCTTCCAGCGGCTCCAGAGCTGCCACCAACACGGACAAGCCCCGACCGCCCCCCCTGCCCTCGGAACCGCCCCCTCCGCTGCCCCCCCTCCCCAAATAACCCCCTTTTTACTACTGAGTCCAGAGCCCGAGCCCAAACCTGCGGGGCTTTTCTAAGGGCTTTTTGATCTCCACTGCCTCACGAAGAACTTATTTTATTATAATATAACTTTTATTATTGATATTTAGTTGTTAAAGCTGTGAAAGGATAAGGAACCCTTTCTCTATTCCTCCCTTTCCCCCATAGGCTCCCAGTTAGTGTTGGGCTTTGACCCCCCCTCTGGGGAACATGGGGGATATTTAAAATATGTCACAGAAAATTTAAGATGTTTTACAAATAATTTAAGCATTAACTTATATCTTAGTGGTTTGGTTCCTTTTAATTCTGAGGGGCTGTGGCAGAGCCCGGGGGGACTTTTGGGGAGGTTCCCTTTGAGGCGTTGGTGTTGAGTTTTTGGGGGATGGAGGGATGTGGGGGGGCTGAGGGAATCCCAAGGTGATGGGAGCTGTTTTCCCTCCCGTGGGTCGTGTTTCCTTGCCCTCACACCTGTTCTGGTTTGGGACCCTGTCTCCATCCCTTGCTCCCTTCCTGTAGATCCCTGAATTTCCATGGGAGCCATGGGGGCAGGGGGGTACATTCCCAGTGGGATCTGGGATGAGAAAGTGCCAGGCTGGTCCTGTAGGCACCATACCCGGGGCAACTTCAGGAAATCACAGTGGCATATGGCTGTTCCCAGCTGAGCTGGAAGCAGCTTCTCCTGGATCCTCAGCCCAAGGCCAGGGGACCTGCCAGAGTTTGGGTTGACTATTTGGGAAAGCCCTATTTTCTTTCTTTTTTAGACTTGACTTTTCTGACCTTCAATAAATGGGTGGTCTCCGGATGGTTTTGGGAAACTCTTGTTCCATGTTGAGCTTGTTTTTAGGAGGAACTGCTGCTGCCAAACCCTCTCCAAGGATTTGGGGACCGATTTGGTCCACTTTTGGGACCAATTCTTAGATTTCAGGCTCTGGGCAAAGCCCATCCCTTGCTTCCCTTCCCTTTTTTGGAGCCCCTCTTGGAGGTGGCTCCTCCTGGGATGTCGAAGCTCTGCCCTTCCCGGTGGGGAGCAGTGTCGGTTCATGGCTGGCTCGGGAAACCGGGAAGGGACCGAGTGATGCCAAGGGGGACCAAGCCGGCTCTACTGCGAGCATCTCCTGACCCGGAGCCAAAACCCGGTCCCCGCTGGGCCCCTGACCCCCCATCTCAGTGGTGAATCCCCAGGACCCCTGCCCCAGTGTCCTGACCCAGGACCCTTCCCGGTGTCCTGGCCCGGGATATCCCCCCAGTGTTCTGTCCCGGGACCCTTCCCGGTGTCCTGGCTCGGGATACTCCCCGCTGTCCTGTCCCGGGACCTTCCCCGGTGTCCTGGCCTGGGACCCTTCCCGGTGCGGGATCCCCCCAGTCCCGCCGCGCCCACGTGTCGCGTTCCCGCCGCGCCGCTCCCACGTGACCATGGGAGGGCGTGGCCGCTCCCTGCGTGAGTGACTGCCAAATCAGCCAATCACTCACGAGATCTCCGCCGTGCTGGCCGTTGATTGGCGGGTGGGCGGGCCAGTGAGGAGGTGGGGCGGGAGCACGGTGCTGCAGCGCGGAGGCCGCGGCGGCAGAGAGGTAAGATGGCGGCGGCGCCTCCTGCTTACAATGGGGCCCGGTGTGCCCCTCAGCGCGGCCCCCGAGTTCTTCTCCGGGGCTCCTCCGTCCTGCACCGTCCCGGGGGCGGGTCTCCTCTCGCTCTCCGCTCCAGCAGCGCTGCCTGGCCGCCCCTCAGGGGTCCCCCTCACGCCCGCCACCCGCGGACAAAATGGCGGCTCCTGGCCGGCAGGAGCGCGCATGCGCGGGAGCGCGGTGGCAGAGCACGTGTGCGGGCGGGAGAGCTCCGGGACGGACCGGGAGAGAGGCTGGGATGGACCGGGATATACCGGGATAGAGACGGGGATAGATCAGGATGGGCACGGGGATAAACCCGGGGATGGACCGGTATGGGCACCGGGATATACCGGGAGAGACGTGGGGATGGACCGGGATATACCGGGAGAGAGGCTGGGATGGGCACCGGGATATACCGGGATAGAGACGGGGATAGATCAGGATGGGCACGGGGATAAACCCGGGGATGGACAGGCATGGGCACCGGGATATACCGGGAGGGAGGCTGGGATGGGCACCAGGATATACCGGGATAGATCAGGATGGGCACGGGGATAAACCCGGGGATGGACCGGGATTGGCACCGGGATATACCGGGAGAGAGGCGGGGATGGACCGGTTATACCGGGGTAGATCAGGATGGGCACGGGGATAAACTCGGGAATGGACCGGGACGGGCACCGGGAGAGAGGCTGGGATGGACCGGGACGGGCACCGGGAGAGAGTCTGGGATGGACGAGCATGAGCACCGGGAGAGAGGCTGGCACGGACCGGGAGAGAGTCTGGGACGGACCGGGATATACCGGGGTAGAGACGGGGATAGATCAGGATGGGCACGGGGATAAACCCGGGGATAGACCGGGATGGCACCGGGAGAGAGGCTGGAACGGTCCGGGATATACCGGGATAGATCAGGATGGGCACTGGGAGAGAGGCTGGGAGGGACCGGCATGGGCACCGGGAGAGAGGCTGGGATAGACCGGGATATACCGGGATAGATCAGGATGGGCACCGGGATAAACCCGGGGATAGACCCAGATACACACTGTGGGGACCCAGGTGTAGAGGCAGGAATGGACCGGGATGAGCAGCAGAAAAGACCGGGGATAATTCGTGCTTGAGGCTGGACGGGCAGCGGGGATGCACCGGTGTGGAGGCGTGCCCGCGCACAGGTAGCGGGGCGAGTCACCGGGATGGCGGCGGCGATGGGCACTGGCAACACCGAGGAGATGCACTGGGGGTGCACTGGGAGAAGAGGATCCCCCCCAGATTTCTGCGGGGCTAAAAATCCCCTCGAGCATTATTGGGAATTATCTCCATAGGAGCTGCCTCATCTTCTGCTGAAGGGGTCAGGCTTTGATTCAAATTCTTTCCCGCTGCTACTTTTCGTTTTATCAGCGTTTTATTCCACTGCTTCTCCTTGCTCTGCATCCCTCCTGCAGCGTCGGCATGAACAGGATCCGGATTCACGTGTTACCGACGAGCCGAGGCCGCCTGACCCCGGTGCCGCGGCCCCAGGAGCCCCTGGCCTGCGCCTTCGCCCCCCGGCCCTGCTCCCAGCCCCGCCTGGAAGGGCAGGAATTCTGCATCAAGCACATCCTCGAGGACAGGAATGCTCCCTTCAAACAGTGCAGCTACGTGTCCACAAAGAACGGGAAGCGTTGTCCCAATGCTGCTCCCAAACCCGAGAAGAAGGATGGGTGAGTGGCTCTTCCTCCTGGTTTTCCAGTTCCAAACTCTATGGAGTTAAAGCAGGCAGGGGGAGGAATTTTAAGCAGGCAGGGGGAGGTTTTTCTCTTTGTCTTCCCTTTTGAAAGAATGGCTGGAGCTGTGTCAGGGGAGATTTATACTGGATTTTGGGAAAAGGTTCTTCCCCATTTGAGCACCTCGGCAGCTCCTCAGGGTAGTGGTCACAGTCACAGCCCTGCCAGAGCCCAAGGAGTGTTTGGATAATGCACCCAGGAGCATGGTGGGATTTTGGGATGTCCTGTTCAAGGCTAGGAGTTGGACTTGGTGATCCTTGTGGGGCCCCTTCAGGATATTCCATGATTCTTCTCTCCCATCTGCTGTATTTGGGTAACCTCTGAGGAGCATCTCCATTTTTCCAAAATGTTTTTAAGCTGGAGAAAGACTCCGTGGAGTTGCTTGGGGACTGTGGGCTGTGCCCTGACCCAGCAGAAGGTGGCTGCAGTGCTCCAGGTCTGGCACTGGATCTGTGCGGGCAGTCCCTCCCTCATCCCAGCACATCCCATGCCTGTGCCAGTGGATAATCCCCGGAGCAGCCACTCTGATCCCTCTGGAGCTTTGGCCTGGTTGTGCTGCTGCTTCCCTTAGGCCTTTAAAATGCTCGAGTGGTGGGGATGTAAGGGCTGGAACAGTTATGGATGACAGAGCACAGATTCCTCACGGGAGTGTTGCTTCCAGGATTTACTGGGATGTGGACAGTGGTTGTCTCCATCCTGATCCCTGTGCTGTAAAATGTGGGGAAAGCAGAGTCCAGTGAGAAAGTTTGGAAGCAGAAGAGCTCAAAAACTCACCCACCTCACTGGCTTTAACTGAAAGCTCTTCTTACTCCCTGCTGCTGGTGCCAGAGATGACATTCCCTCAGTGGTGGGTGGGCTCTCTCAGCATTCCCAGGCTGGACTTCCAGCCAGCTCCCTGTGAGAGATTCCAGGTGCCAGGGCGTGTTCCCTGCCCTTCTGCCCTGCTCAGGTGCAACCCTGCATCCAGAGATGTTTTCCCCGTGTCCAGCTCAGGAAAAACATCATTTGGAGTGAGTCCAGAGAGGCACTGAGATGAACAGAGGGATGGAGCAGCTCTCATAGAAGGAAGGGCTGAGAGAATTGTGATTGTTCTGGAGAAGAGAAGCTCAGAGGTCACCTAATTGTGACCTTAAAGTGGCTGAAGGAGCTGCAGGAGTGATGGAGAGACTAGTTACAGGGGGTGGAGTGTCAGGACAAGGGGAAGTGGCTTCCCACTGCCAGAGGGCAGGGTTAGGTGGGATATTTGGAACAGATTGCTCCCTGTCAGGCTGGGGAGGCACTAGAATGGATTTCTCAGAGAAACTGGGGCTGCCCCTGGATCCTTTAAAAGTGTCCAAGGCCAGGTTGGACAGGGCTTGGAGCCATTTGGGATAGTCGAAGGTGCCCCTGCCCATGGC